ATTTTGTTTTCCAAAATTTACTTTAATTTTTGAAATTTGACATTCCATAATTTTTTTAAATCACAAATGTCCATCTCGCGCATAGCCAATCAACGCAATTAATTTTAAATTGTTGTTTTATAAACATAAGAGGTGTCCCTAAATTACATGCAGCAATGACTGGGTATGCAGAACCATGCTGAACAATTTTAACACCCAAGGCAAACTTCATACCTGACACTTCTGGTTCGTCGTTCTTAAGGTTGGCGCCCAAGACATATGCCCATCTTCGACCACCTTAGTTATGCCGCTATGGGTGCGTATGCAGATCATCGTTATGAGGCGTTACAAGGCTGTTTAAAAAAACGTTACGTAATGCTAGGATCTCAAACCTTGGGTAACAGAATAATTCATTTTTGTTTTCAGAGTTGCATAGCGAACCCTACTGATTACGCTTCTTTGTACGTAATTAATAAAATAATGCATCGTTCAATACCCCGTGGTGTGTATAATTCCGTAGTACAATTAAAGGGGTACACGTAGAGGATTTGATCCCGGGATCTCGAAAATCGGGATCCCGACTACTTTTCAGTCCCAAAATTTTCGGGATTAAGTTTTCCTAATCCCGAGATTTTCGGGATTGACATCATTTTAAAAAAGTTGCAAAATAGACTGCATGAAGCGAAACGTTCAGTGCCAGTGCTTTTAACAGAATTGCTTGCCTATCATTTTAATATAAAATATGAGAAATTTTATTCCAAGCAAGCAGCAGAAATTAACCTAGCGGGCTTGCGATGCTTGCTTGGAATAAAACTTCTTGTATTTTCAACTAAAATGATAGGCAAGCAGTTCTCACTGGGTTACTTGGTAATATACTTCATTTTTGTATTTTTGAATTTTCGCGGGCGCCAATCGATTTTCTGGCGCAGTCGAGAGCACTACTCAGTGCGTTTTACCTGTCAATGTGTCAGCCATCTTGTTTTGCCAGTGTGGTTAATATAGACCCGACGCCTCTCGCTTAGGGGGGTCGACCTTAGGTGAAAAGGTTACGACCCCCGCCTTGCCCGTGATCTGTCAGGATGATGCGAGAAAGTCTTTTTACGTTTGGGAGTAGTGGTTTGCTGGATGCTGAGAGACTCACACAGAGACCGAATTTACAAAATTAACGTGTTTATTTTTAGAAAGGCATGCTTACAATGATCGAAACAATCGGGATTGTAGCCTTTACTCCTACAATCCCGATCTGTGTCGACCGGACTGTTTTCTTCCAACCTCCCCGTGTCCTCGAAGCTATAACTAGAACGGGCTTATAAGTATTTACTAACGATTCCTCCAACTTCCATCAAACCTAAACGCGTTTTCTCAGCAGCTGCATATATGTGCAACAAATTGAGAAGCAGACTTGGTGATGAGACACAGGATGCGTTGTTATTTCTCAGATCATATTTTCGCAATTCAAATTAGAATGTTCCTATTAGATTAGTTTTCTTTATATTTAAGAAAAATGTGACTGATTAATATTATTTTTAAATACTTTTTGCTAAGAAACTTATCTTACTACCTACTTACTAGGTTGCTATATGAAAGTAGTCTATTTAGTCGATGTTAAGAGAGATTTTTGTTAATTTTCAACGTTTATTTGCATAGTTTGTTACATAAAGGTTTTTTCAATTTATGTGAGTTTAAAGAGATCTCAGTGATGCTTAAAAAAGAATAAATTTAACATGAAGACTGAGTGATTTTAAGTCTGGTTAGTCTGACTCTGAGTCTGATTAGTTAGAGTGATTAAATTAGCTAGGTATATACTGTAAAATATGTTGATTTTTGTCTAAATTTTGATTTGTTGATTTCTGCAAGATTTTCTTATTTTTTATTAACCCTCAATACCGAAATAATCCCGGGATTGACTAAGTATAATCCCGAAATCCCGGGATTAGAAATAAGGACCGGGATCGAATTCCCTAGGTACACGATTCGAGGATGAGTTACGTAATTTTGGGGTTGATGTTTATGAATGATTCCGCATAGGCTATTGGGCGCATTTCCTAGTAAAGCCGCTTTGTTAATTTAAAAGACAGTTGAGCTATTTCTACTTAGAATTAGCCGATGTAGTGATAGTGCAGCAAGGTTCATAAGCGCTGAAGACAGAATTCAAGATTGTACCTCAAATAAAATTATGACATACGAAAATCTACTTTAGTTATCGGAAAAATTAGAAACGCAATTTTCCCCATAATCTATTCCGACAAATATTTTCAGATTAGTAATGGCGAATGCACACGTTGTATTGTTGTTTAAAATATATGGGTAATTGCATTTTTACGCAATATCGAATTTTCTTGATCGGTTGCATCCAATATTTTATATTCTCGGCGACAATTCTGCGTCGTTTCTTTTATACGTACAAAACAACGTACAGAAAGCAGAGTAGCTGAGGTGTAGAAGTGTATCCTACGAAAGCGACCTCCAGCAGTTTTATTAGGAAATACGTCCACTGATTCTTAAGATCCTTATACGTATTTAATCATAACGAAGACAAATACAATCTAACTTGAAACATAAAAGGAATTTAATACAGAATACATCACGTATATATTAGCGTGATGCCTGCTAGTATTTATATATAGCATTGTTTACTCATTATTTGACTGTTATCATATACGCTATACCGTATATGAAAACAGTCAAATAATGAGTAAGAATGTAACATATGGCACAAAAGATTTAAATCAGTTTTAATCTTTTCAGCAAAGAACGAATTCTATCCATAGAACTGCAGTTTCACATTGTCGGCAAAATATTTCTACAATTAGTGAATATCAACACAAATTTGGAATATTAGTTTTTCTTTAAGTTTATAACCAAATTCTAAACATTGAGAAAACATAACCAATGATCGCCCGATCTTCCAGGCAATCGTTGGTTATTTCATTATATACTCATAGGGCTTTAAGATGTTTATTATATATGAATACTTCTAAATTCTTTCAAACTTATATGGATATTTATCAAAAGAAACTTATCAATATGCAGTATTTTAACAATAAAACTATCAGAAAACTGATCTTCGTATTCTATATAGCAAGTTCCTTAGGTATGTCATCCAGCAGGTATATGACACATGGGTGTCCTTCTGGCAAGAGACTTACTCAATGAAGACTCCACAACAATTGAAAATAAATACAAATTTTCTGTTTATAAACATTGTTTCTTCCAAGTCCATTTAATGAAACAATTTTATAGCAAAATACTTGGTCATTTTGTTAAGATCAATTTATGTGACAGGATGATTTTATTTCTTTTGATGATTCTGAAAAATTTTATATTTAAAATAAATCAATATTGGACAATTTTAATTTTATAATAGCTTCTAATAAACTAAACAGATTATTAGAAGAAATCATACTTATTTAAATCAAATAAATATATTTTATATATATAACATTGTAAAATTAGTAGAATTTTTCCTTATTTCCTAGTATGAGGATTCTAGGTGTCTATTTTATATTATTATTTAAATATTTTTACTCTCTACACTATAAATTAAAAATATTGCAATACATTATTTTGTATTACTTTGATTTTGTTAAGTGATATCTTGTATAATTCATTTTAATTTATTACTTAATTGATGAATGATTTTGCACAAACCTTATGGAAAATGAGTCTTTGTGGGTTTGGCTGAATCTGATCAAAGTCTCCATAGGCACAAAGACAAAAAATGGATAGTTTTTGAGTTATTGAGCATCAAAGATGCATAAACAACACAATTCATAAATGTGTTTGAAGCCCTAAATCTTTTTTCTTTAAAAATATAAAATGTTTTGTTTTCAAATGTTACTGATGTACAAATTCCATTAAACTTGATATCATAAATATTGCAACATATGAATACACTTATGAGCAACTGCTGAAAATCTTTTAGGGGGAAAGCTCGGAGAAAAATAATTACATCAATAAATTTTTATTTATATATTTAGTTTTTTTGGGGGAATTTTTTTTACAACTAGATTATAAAATACAGTATTAAATGAATGCAAAAAGACAGACAAAGTGTCCCAAGATTGAGGGTGTAAGGTTACATATCTCAATCATTTATATGATTATAATCTGTAGAATTATTATTTGAGGGGCAAATGGGCATGTTAGCTAAATTTCCTTTTGGAAAAATCATTCATTATGCAATACACACAAGTTTGATTTTCACTAGGTTCATACTATGTCAGTAGTGTGTTCTGATGTGTAGTTTCTTCTGGTATGAGACTCTGCTGCCAAGACTTGATAACAATTGAAATGGAACGCTATTGGGTCATTTTCAGGCAATATACTTATTATCGAATAAATAAATATTTGTTTTGTAAAATTTTGTTTATGTTGGCAATGTCCATTTTTTTGTTTTTTATATCAACATAAAATAGTTAATATAAAAAATTCTTTACATTGTCTAATATCTCTTCTATCTGAGATAGATTAAAGGAGAAAAAAAACTGATAATTCTTCCTTATTAACATTAAGTATTAATTTCATAAGAACGAAGTAGCCTGATATAGCTTTCAGAAATCATTTGCACTGTTATGTTTGTGATAAAGCATTTCTTCTTTGGCAAATAGCTAAAATAGATGGATGAACACAACATCAATATTCAAAAAGATGCAAGGGATTTTCACCTCTTGTGATAACAAATCTGACAAGAATTTGTATAACTGCAATCTATTGCCAAACATTAATAATGTTTAGACAACATTTTTTTTTATTTTTAAACAAAAAAAGATTTAGGGGCTTCAAACACATTTGAAAACTATGCTATTTTTGAATCTTAAATACTTGATAATTCAAAAACTATCCATTTTTTGATTTTATGTCTATGAGGCTTTTGATCAGGACCATCAGAACTACAAAATATCAAAGATTCAGTCAAATCCATCAAGATACATTTCCCATAAGATTTGTGCAGTCCTTTCTACTACATAAAAAAAAAAATAAAATAAAATAAAATAAAATTAAGCATTTTAACCATAATATAAATGCATTCAACAGATTTTGTTTTAATATATAAATAAGTAATTCACACAAAAAATTCTGCATAAAAACTTCCAGTCATACTACTTTTTACATATTCCTGATTTACTTTTTTACATAACTATTTTTTCTACTTGATAAAATAAATATTATACATTAAATTGATTACAGTTGAGCTAGTATTGCTCTGGTAAAATCTGTAGTGCTGGCATATCCTCCGAGATCTCGTGTTCTGACCTGAAATTTTAGCAAAACAAATTAGTACGAAATCGCATGTTATGATCATATACTAGTTTCATTTAAATAAAAATATTTCTATAATTAATTGTTTTTAGAATAAAACAATTAACACAACAGAAAATAACTTATAAAAGTCATAGCTAGAAGGAAAAAAAACAAAACAAAACTGAAAAATAATTCCTTTATATAAAACCATTAAATAAAATTCATAACCTTTTTTCCCCCAGCAAGGTGATAACAATTCAGACTTTTACGATCATCATATATAAGTTACTTATGCAGTAGCAGCCATGGAAATTGCATTATCTATGCCTTGTGGTTAGGGTTTCTCAAACGGGATCCCGGTTGTTTTTTTAACCCGGGAAATATCCTGGGAAATTTTTCTTATCCCGGGAAATCCCGCAAATTTCTTAAAAATTCACTTTTTTTCTTATTTTGTGTTAAGGTTGAGGAATTTTGCAAATAGAAAGCATAATTAACTCATTCACTGTCAGAATACATTTGTATTTATTAATTTTAAACCTACCTATTAGTTTTTTTTAAATTTTTGCTCGTTATAGCATGTCACAAATGGTCAATAATCAATATATAGCTTATTTGTGGCAGGACTATAAAAATTCTTTACTTGTCGGAACCTGTAATATCTGGAATAATTGTGCTTACGCTGTCTTGAGTTTTAACCATGCCCAGTAGCTTCAATAAATGCCTGACGCCAGATTGTGCAAATTGGGCAAGGATACAAACGAGTACAAAGTCTGCAAGTATGAAGTTTTTCTTCATAAACCTGATTATTAAAGCCAAATGAATTGCCGAATTATCGAGCTCTAAGCTTGATGCCGCTATTAAAGCAGCCAAGGTAGACAAATCAAGAATACTAGAGAGCGAAAGAAGTACTACAATCTCGAAAACGAACTCGAAATCTTCCAGGCTACAGGTGAAAAAACACATAATATCTGTCTTCTCTTAAATGCATTAAACACTATTCCAATCACATCAATTGAATCGGAAAGGGCATTCTCGGTGGCAAGACTTTTCATTACTAAAATAAGAATTAGAGTGAGTTATCGGAGTATTGACCATCTTTGCTTTTTAAAATCTTATAAAAGTTTGCAATATTTTGTATTATATTTTATTTAAAAAACGAAAATTACCTTCTAAATTAGAAGTTCATTTTTTTAATTTTTAACTCAATTCAAAACATTTTTTTTGTTGTTGTTGTATGCAGTTTCCAGCAAACTTTAATTAATTTTTTTCTATTTGTGAAAATTTCTACGTTATTTAAAGGTAATTTTTATTATAGGCCTATAGACCTTACACAGCATTATTAATATGATTTTGGAGGTTACAGAACTTTAAAATTACTTTAAAAAATGGAAAATAATTATATCATTTGATTTCAAGATATTTTGTATACCTTAAAAATAATTAATTCTATCCCGGGATTTCCCGGGAAACAGTTCACTTTTATCCCGGAATCCCGGGACAAGCAAAAGACCGGGAAATGAGAAACCCTACTTGTGGTATATACCAAAACGCATTCAAAAGATGTGCAAAATAGAATATTGAAACTCTGATTATTACTATAATTATCACTACAAATGACAGAGATGAAATCAACCAAAAGTAAATGCAATTTATAACATGTAATGTTATATTGAACTTAAATATTATTAATAGTATTGTGAGGCTGTAGCATGAAATGAGTATTGTTGCAATAACTGATCTTTTACAGCTATGGAAGTAAACAAAGATTCACAGCATAAGTAGGTCTGAAAAACATAACATGAACAATTACTTCTTGTTGAATGAAATTCTAGTACTTTGTACAACCATCTTGAGTGTTAGTAACTTTACAGTGCTCTGGCACAGAATGGATGGAATTCTTGTATTTTATATCTTGCTTATGATACCAAATTTTTATAATACATTTGCAGTTATTTTCACTCTCTTCTTCTTTGTGTTCCTTGCATACCAACAATTCTCAATAGGGTTGAGATCACGACTGTTACTTGACCAGTCTAGGTATCTGGTCTGGTATACTTGTAGGAATATATCTTACCTGTGTGTCAGTAACTGACAATAATGCTAATAAACTGTAGAAAACATCACACTTAAATCACTACCTTGATGCAGTAACATGACACAGAATTTTCCTAGAAGATACAGTACTTTGTAATGAAATTGTTCTTTGATTGCTGGAATTAGCTTGACAGAGAAAATAATTTTTTTAGCATTCTGATTTGTAGATCTATTTATAAAGCATAGTCTGCGAATACACAATTACTAGATATGTAGCTCCACACAATTTGACTCATCAGAAAGTTTACTATCCGCATCAAGTAATCTCTGTTATGGGCCTTGCTTTTTCTATATCTAACATAATCTGTATGTTTCTATATTCAACGGTTGACTCAATGGTGAGAGAACAATGCTTCTAAATGGACCATTGAGACTAGTGACGTTAGCACTGTTTCACCGTTGAGTTCAATGGTTTCAACGACGTGAAAGACTGTTGAGTACTAACCAAACTAACATGGCAGCTTCCATGAAAAAGTAAATTTCGCTTATAGAAACTATCCATTCACTGCTGTGGATGCTGTAATAGCAGACAGATTAATGAACAATCTGTATATGATAAAACATGTAATTGCATGATTATGTTGGATAATTTGGTCAATATTAAATTATTAAGATTTTTTTCATTTGTCCAAAATTGATTACGACCAATATTTGGCCTGCTAAGTCTTCCTAATGATATAAATATTCAAGAAATTAATTAAAATTATTAAAGAAAGATCCAATATATAAGAAAATGATACAGATATGGGTTCATTTGAATAAAAGGATTTATTTGAATAATGGTTAAGCAAGTTACTTTAATTATTTAGCAAAACAGACACAATTGCTACCTTCTCATTACTTAAGTCAGCCATCTTGAAAAGCGACCTCTCAATGAAAACGTTTCTTTTTTCTGTAAAACGTGACGTCAGATCATTGAATGGAGGGACACAATGGAAAATTCACTGTTCAGTCAACCGTTGAATATAGAAATGTATGGAATGTTTTCCATCAGATCTGCACAGGTTAACTTTGGATTCATCCAAAAACATAGTATAAGTCAATGTGTCAATGCTCCAGTCTGCGTGTTGTTTAGCCCAGCTAAACCTCTGCTCATTTTTCTCATCAGTAATGGCTTCTTATGCAGATGTCAGGCTTTTAATCCATGTTGCAGTTTATGCATCTGTTTCCTCTTCCCACTTTACAGTTCAGAACAAGCAGTACGTTTTGCAAACTGAAATGCTTCTACATTCACCCTGTCATGGTGTACTGATGTGTTTACATCCTGATCCAGCTTTCCTTTCAATATTATCATTTTCACATCATTCTTATAACAAATGCACAATTTTTGTTGATTGATGATAACACACCCTGAGCTATTTCATAAGAGGATAAACCTTTAACATTCAAACTGTGACATATATTGTGTTTGAACTATATATTAGGCTTTTTACATGGTGTTAACTGTTGAAAATTTTCTATTTGACTATAGAAGTGTAGCGTTGCATAAATTTTTATACTAGTGAAGGATACAATCAATTGAAAACATTGCTACAGTAACTTTAACAAAGTCTGCTGCAGCATGTTTTCAGCCAATGAAAAGTGTTGTCATGGATGATACAATATTTAGTTTCTTGCAAGTCTGTAGAAAAATGAAAATGTTAATATTTAAAATTAAAAAGTTTAGTAAGGTTTTATGAAAATTAAAATAGAGTTAAACCACTTTCTATATTTTGATTGACTATTTGTGTTGTACTGTACATCAGATCATGCATTGCAAATAGTCAGTCAAAATACAGTATGTAGTTTTAATTCTATTTTGATCATCAAAATATTCTAAAAATGTAATAAAAAAGTAACTGTAATAACTAAATTCAATAAAAAAAGGTAGTAACTTTAGTAACCAAATCAGAAAGGAAAAATTTTTGTTTAGTAATTTGTAAAAATTAACTCTTTTCTGAAAAGTAAATTCTGTTCCACATTCACTTACAATGAACACTAAAGCATTAAAGTGATTTTACCATATGCTGAGTGAGTCAATTACACTTTCCCATTTACAATAGACTTCACTCAGGATTTAAACTTTTAGAAATTTCCATAAAACTTAAAAACTCATGTGTACATATTAAACCAAGTGCTATAAATAAGTCCTTTTGTAAATAACAAGTTCATTTCAATAAATTACTATCTTGGATTTCATTAGTTAGATATACATAGCCATGCAAATCTTGCAACCAGCTAGTATTAATATACAGGTATACCTCGCCTTACGTCGTTAATTGGTTCCAGGAAAACGACGTAAGTCGAATTTACTTGTCTCCGAATCTACTTGTCACTAGGCTAAACCATAAATTATTATTCTCTGTTCTGTATTTTATTTATTAATGCATTTTTAATAATATATGGTTAATAAAAATCTATTTTAAGCTTACAAACAAATAAATTTTAGTTTTTAATATAGTACAGAAAAAAGTATTCTAAATTTACGAATGCATGTACTGTAAATACAGAACATACTTGTAAATGTGTATATTTTAATATGATTTTATGTGCTTTAAACGTTTTTCTAGTGATATTACGACTTCAATATTTGTGGCGGACGGACGTAAAGTCGAATAAAATGACTTAAACTTGATTTTTATTTTTTCGTATACTTTTTTGACAAACGACGTATAATCGGGAACAACGTAACTCGAAACAACGTAAGTCGAGGTATACCTGTATTTAGCAAAATATGTGACTGTTGATTTACTAATTAACAATGTATTGAATGATCAAATGAAAGTAGAACTTGCAGAAAATAATGTAGCAATCCTATTAGACTTGGTGACATTGTGAGCTGGCTTTGCTTTACACAACCAGCTCATGATGTTTCCAAGTCTTCAAATTCCTTGAGAGTTCTATTTTTGTTTGATTACCTTGTATAATAATTTGAGAATAATAATATTAATACATAATTATTTCATTTAAAATAAAAATCATTAATTTCTTCTAAAAAGTTATTTGTAAAGAAAACCAAATCTATACATTCCTTTATATTTTTTTATAAATTGATTATACTTACTTTGCCATCTTTCAAAACTTTAGTAACTGCATTTCTTATAGCAGTAGAATATGAATGCAAGTTTATGTGTTTCAATAAATGAACAGCAGATAGTATCATAGCTGTTGGATTAGCAATGTCTTTTCCTCCTGCTTCAGCAAATGTATGTCTTGCTCCCTAATCATAAATTTTATTGTTAGTAATTTAAAATAAAAAATTTAAATTGATTTTATTCAGGTTTTAAAAATTACTTACTGGTTCATAGATGACGCAGTTGGCGCTATAACTAGCTCCAGGTACCACACCGGCTCCACCAACTAGACCAGCAGCCAGATTGTCAACAATATTGCCATACAGATTAGGCATAACCATGACATCAAATCGATGAGGATGGGCAACTAATTGCATGCAACAATTGTCAATGATCATGGATTCAAATTCTATTTGTGGATATAGTTTAGAAATCTCTTCACAACTTCGAAGAAACAATCCATCTCCCAGTTTCATGATATTGGCTTTATGTACTGCTGTCACTTTTTTACGTCCATATTTTGTGGCATAATCAAAAGCAAATTTGGCAATTCTTTTAGATTTTGTTCGAGTGACAATTTTCATACATTCTATTACACCTGTCACACTCTTAAAAAATAAAAAATAAATATGAAAGTGATTCTACTATAACTCAAATTCCAATATTAAAAATATTAATTAAAGACAGAATGCATAATTAAATGTTACAATTTTTTAATTTAATTACAATAAACTTAATATATATTTGATTTTTTTGTAATGTATTGTAATGTAATTATTAATTTTATATCAAGCTGAAATTTTTTAAACTTTAATGATAAAACTAAATCTGCTTATCAATATATAATAAGTTTTTTAATTTAACTTTTATTTTAAATCATTAAGTAATTAAAAATATAATAAATGATTATAAAAGTATGTACTAAATTATTATATGATTTAAAATAATGAGAAATAATTTTTTAAAAATTTAAATTTTTACAAAGTTTAATTAATGTTAACAAAATATTTAAATGTATTTACATGCCTAATTTCTTTTAAAGCATTGTGTGAAAATAATAATTACTATTTGAATATTGCAACTCAATTTTCTCTAGCAGTAATAGTGAACATGTTAACATCATTTGTTCTTTTAATTTTAAAATATAGTTTTATATTTCATTTTAGTTTTTAATAATTAATGTCATTTTAATAATTTTATTTAATAAAAGATTGCTGCTATTATTTAATAATGATATAAATAAGCCAATACGCTTAAGAAATGAGTAGATATCAGCACTAAAATGTTGAATATTATTATTCAATTACTTGTTAAGAGGTAAGGGACTGAGTAGACAATAATTTCTATTAAAACTCATTTACTGTATGGTTATTATTCAAATCATGTATCATATTTGGAATTTCTACAGAATATAATTTTATTAGGTTCATACCAATTTAAACAAAAATAAAAAAGAAACTTCTATTTTATTTTTTACTGGGTTTTATTTTTATTTGTTCAAATAGATTTTGTTCCAGGACAGATTAATCAGATTGATTTTATATATAAAATATTCTAATTTGCATTATAGACAGAGTTTTGAGATTTGTGGAACTAACCATGGTATCATGCATATTATAACTGTACATATTTCTGTTGAGATTTTTAAAAGTTAGTTGCAAACTTTTTATTAATTATTTGATTGAAGGATAAAGCATTGGTCTTTTAATCATTGTATAATTTGGGACTATGACGGGTGATTCAGATAAACTTTCTTTGTTGAGCTGGATGTGGATGTTTTGTTATTTTCATTTATTAAGTTTTTTTTCTTGTTTTTTGTTCAATTTTAGAATTGAGATATTGGAAAAGATTTTCTGGTTTTGGAAATAACAATTTATTATTTTTATATACTTTAATGACTAATGAAATTTTTGGGGTTGTATTATTGATCTAGACACAGAGTATTTCTTTCCCTATGGAAAACCATTTTCAAGACTAGTTTTAATTCTCAGGAATTTTTCAAATGTTTGTCCTCATCATTTGATCAGCATCTTGTGGACTTAAGTGAACCCATAATGTGTCTGTGCAAAATGTGCAAAAAAAAATATACAATTACTACTTAGTGCAATAAAGGCTTTAAAAAATCATCTCTTGTAATTCCTTAAACCAAATAAACAGTTTTTATATAAAAAAATAAATCAGATAACATATAAATTAAGTTGTTTTATGCCTTTGTGTCTTTTTGAATTGTTAAATTTTATACTTATATTTAAACATTTCTACAAAATATATGAAACAGAAAATAGTAATGAAACATTTATTCATTATTCTCCATTAGTGTGTTAATAGCAACATTAATTAGTAGTGAATACTTTTGAAAAAACAAGGTAATGAATTCATTATCTTGGATCTTTGTTAGTAGTAATTATAATAGTAGTTATAAAGAAAAAAAAGATAGATGTAGTTAAACTCTTACCTGATGTTCTAGAGCACTATATTCACCTTCAGTTTGTTCTCTAATAATGACAAAATCTAGATTATCATGACGAGTTTGAATGCCAGGAACGCTATTTATGGGAACTACATTGGCAAACATATCTAATTCTTTTCTGGAAAATATATTAGAATAAATATATTATTTATGCAAACTGATTTCTAAAAAAATATTCACCTAAGTTTCATATTAAGTGACATCAATTCTCCAGATACAGTACTAAATGGCGTTTGAAGACTTCCCTTGAGGGCAATGCCATTTCTCTCTATGGAAGCCATAACATCTTCTAAAGGAGTACTTATATTATGATGAACTTCACTGAAATAAAAAAAAATCTTTTTTATGCAAAATTTTCGGAATTTAAATTATTATAATTCTTATATATTACATGACAATTTGGCAACAGTCAACTGGGTGACAGAAACTTAAATTTTTGCAGGCTTAGCAAGTATATAATTTATCAGATATTTTAAAATGATAAACCACATACACCTTATTTTACCAAGGAAAACATTTAATAATCACAAACATTTTTGGCTTGCTCTACAAGCTATCCTCAATCATTATATTACATTCTAATGGAATTTCAAATACAGTGGAACCCCGGTTAATGAACGTAATCCGTTCCATGAGTATGTTCGTTAACCAAAGCAATTTTTCCCATAGAAATTAATGCAAATACAATTAGTCCGTTCTAGCCGTCAGTATTTTTGTAATTTTATTTGTAAAATGGGTTTTCTTTAATGAAAATATAGGAAAACATGCTCATAAACAGTCAATCTAGGTTAAATTTTCGGAAAAGAGGAAAAATTTGACAAGTATAAAAACATCACATACGATCGTTAAAGTTCTAAAATGACAGATAGCAGAAACAGTAGACTAAATTATGAGCGAAAGGCTTATAGGTTTATTAAGAATCTCTGATCAGAGTCAACGAACAGGTGTCAAATAAACGGCTCGGAACAAACCTTTCTCGTGACCTGATCTGGTTTCGGTTTTCACCTGGAGACAAAGAAGAAAACAGTTGGGAAGTGAGGAATGGGATGCAGGACTAATTATAAGGTGAGATTCAAGGAAGAAATACTATAAAAACCCCGAATCTCAAGGTCAAAACGCAGTTTTCCTAAAAATTCTATGGCAATTAATCTGTGTCGTCTTCATCTGGATTAAGCCTGAAGTTGTGCCCGATAAAATTTGTGTTGTGTCTCGCGGACCGCTTCAGTCGTTGCAGCTCTGTCACCTACCATCGCTTCTGTGACCAAGCGAACCCATCTCGTCTGCTCTGGGTGTCTCCTCCGCCACCACCAACGTACGAGTGGACCCTAGACCATCACCGACACATGATTAACTGATGTTCCCTAAAAGTCGGCAAGCTTACAAATTTGACACAAAAAGCCATTAAGTTTGTTATCCGAATTTTGTTCATTATCAGAGACAAAATTTTTGCAAAATAAAAGTTTGTTAACAGATCTGGTCGTTAACCAGGACGTTCATTATCCAGGGTTTCACTGTATAATAAATTTAAACATAAATAAAACAATACAAAATAATTTTTTAAAAGATGAAAATTACACAGAAATCAAATCAAATTAATAATAAAAGTTAAAACATAAAATATAATTAGAATAAATGTATTAATATATAATGTGAAGCAAAAAATGAAAATGTAATATTGCTTCCTTTGTCTGAATGGCAATCAATAAATTGGTGTTTTAGTTTTTTTCCCATGATTTATTTCCATGCTTATGATCATCTTTCAGTGTCCCTAGCATTCAGATACTTGCTAATTATTCCTGCTTCTGTATATTTCTAACTTTTCTATACTCATCATTAATGATGGTGAATAAGGATGCACCGATAAGCAAAATGGCCGATTACCGATTAATCGGCCATGCATTATCGGCCGATACCAATTAATCGGCCGATTAGTGTTAATAATTTATTGCATTAATAGTGTGAGATCCTGGAGTTAATTATACAGTTAATTATAATGTGGAAAAAACCCATTTTTCTCCACCTGGTATTTCCATCTCCCTCGGGTCAGGTAAACAAGAGACGATCGAATATCCTCGCAAAATCAACAATCTCTTCCTTTGTTTCTAAAATAAATCTCAACACTTAATTGTTGACGCATG